GCTTTCTTTGAGACATCAATTCATAAAAATACCCATTGAAGGTTTGTACAGGGAAAATTTAGTTAAGAGTTTAAATCTAGGTGACCTAGAATGTCTAGAATAGTCTAAGGCTCTAACCTTGGCCTGCAAATACATAAAATTCTTCCTTCATCGCCTGAATTTTCATGATATGTACTGATGTAAGTGACTCAGAATACGGGATTTTAACGAAATAAATGAACCGTCGGTTTTAATATAAGCAGAATACTCCTCAACAACTGATTACCTTCAAAAGAAAGATGTTGTACGCGGAGATAATTTCGCCGAGTGTGTTTAACAACAAATCTCTGGCTGGTTACCTACTATCATGATTTTCCTCACTTTCGTCATAAAAGTGGCAGGACACAAACCTCAGACAGAACTCTACCTCTCCTCTTGTGCATTCCTACCACTTCACTACTGAAATTCCAGTTTTATTTGAAGCAGCGTTGTTTAAATAATCTAATAATCAGCCGTATTAAAGTTATATCCTTTGATGATTATAATAAAGTTCGTGGGCACGTTCAGAATTCAATTCTTAGTCTGACAGTTCGTGTTTTTACTCCGTCACTAGCCTCAAAATGGCTCTCCCTATAAATTGTTTATTTTACCGTGAGTACAATTGACCGCATCTTAAATTTTATTACTAATCTCCATTGAATTTAAAGTTTTAGAGTACGTCCTTTACTTACACACACAAAATAAGTTTTCCATGCTGCTTAGACATAAAAGCACATTTGCATTTACTGCTTACAAGTATTTAATTCTTTATGTAAATCAAAACTCTTTCGATCGAAGGGATATCAGTTGAACAGGCTTAAACAGAATAAATAAAAACTTACGAAATGTATCATGAACCACACAGATATCTTTGCCTGGAAATACCAAATGCATTAGAAAAGAAAATTTGACCGAGAACACTCTTATATTGTGGTCGAAATGCAGTAATTCGAAGCCACGCCTATAAGAAAACGTTTCGTAAATAATAGGAAATTTAGAGGATAAGTAATATAATCAAGGAAATAAGAGAAATCAATCTAGCAGAACGTTTGATTATTGTAATATTGTGACTGAGAAAACCCATGGGTAAATGCAGTTAAGCTGGAGAGAGGGCTAAGAAATCGCCCATTGTACTTCAAACGAAACAATCTACTAAGCTTCGGTGGTGAAAAGATGATATAAAAAGAAAACTATTTTTGTAAATATGTTGGGATAGGTCACGAAATAAAATTCTATCTTCCAAAAAACCTCGTGTTAAAATAAATTTACTTAAAATTATTTATTAGGGACTATATATTTTAATACAGCTTAAGGGCTTAAAATATGCTGTTGCTAACAATTCTGAGGTGAGCTGATTTTGTGAACCGCCTTCAATAAATTCATATTTTCCTTACATATTTAGTGATCTCTGTGTTTCTCAATCACAGTATCTGTTAAGCAGATCTTAAAGTCACGTGGCGAAGAAAAGTAAAAGTCATTTAACTCATACGTATAAGTATATGGTCACCTTAAAGTACTTCTTAAATTATTTAGACTTTCAACATTTTTGACTTTGCATTTTTATTTATTGTTTCCATGTAGTAATCTAATTTATCAGACGCCCAAAGAAAATTTTTTAAAACACCTTTCCTTTATCACTGTCGACACAATCGCTAACATTTTACAGATATTTCGCAGAAACCAAACACTTTATCAAAATCAGTCCTACACAGAATAATAAATTGTATTGACATATACATACAAAAGGCTGCTACAATAGATAATTTGTCATAACTGTATTAAAAAGCCTGTCACTGGACCCTATTCTAAAGCATATGAACCCAGTCCACATCCTATTTCTTTAATACACGTTTTTAATCCTACCTGTGACCTGTGACTACGAATTGAAGAAGGATTATTATTACAAGAGCGATAAGTTCACACTGTATATTACCAGTGTCATCTCAAACCATCCTTTCCAAAGGGCCATCAGTTGTAGTCGTACAGACGAGCGAAACAAACACAAGACTCACTGAATACATGTAAACAATTCCAGGTGCCTGAGATTGTGCATTCGTGTATTCATATCGGAGTTGCTACATTACCTCATAAATCTCTCCCGTCACCCCTCTGTAACTTAACCTCCCAGGTGCGATGGTTGTCCCCAATGCATCATGGAGACGCTTACGGAAAGCTACCTAGGTCACAAACACTGAGCTACGTCCAGCATAATAATAATTAAGATGGGGTCATATGATAAATTGAACCCCTACTTCAAATTCACTATTAACGATAAATCATTAATACTGAAACCAGGTCTCTGTGGCTTCATCTCGGAGCTAACTTCAGCGACATTATTTTTACACTCCCATCGTTATGGTATCTAATGGCTTCTTCATCTCGGAGCTAACTGCAGCGACATTATTTTTAAACTCCCATCGTTATGGTATCTAATGGCTAGTGTCTTATTGAACTTACAAGAATGATAGTAGCTTTTAACAGGGAGCCCGTTTTATCGATTGGAAAATAAAAGTTCTTCAAAACACGGACAAATCAGTCATTTCGTGCGCTGTTAACATGAGAGCAAGAATACAGTGTCGTGTTTTACCGTCCGTCGGCGTGTTTAAATCCTAGAATACTGAAAGGCTGTCGATGGTATTTTGTATTCGGTTGTCTGCACTAACAGATGTCGGCGGAATTAATATTTGTCTCGCCTGGGAAAATATTAATACCAATGTAAGCAGTAACTCACTGAAAGAAACATTTTTACGTATTATAAAATACAGATCTTATTAAGATATATAAAATATTTTACTAACACTTTTCGATATTAAACTAAATACAAAGAAAGGAATTATTAGTTATAGGCAGTGAAACGCTTCGCACTAATGAATTATTTTCTGTAACGTAAAGGCCTGACTACTGGAGCTAATTCGTTTACTTTTTATTGTTAAATAAAATAAACAAATACAGCTCACAAATTACATAATTTTTCGTCTCCTTCTTTAGTTCATATATTATTTTCAGACGTTTCTCTCACAGGGTGAGAGACCATGATTCATTCCCATACAACGGAATATATTAAAGCATATTTCTGGATATTTTATTGACTAGAAAGTAAAATATGCAAGAAGGAAATTGTAAAGTTTTATAGCCTATTAAATGTGGCAAAATGATTTGGTCTGTAACATTTTATGCACAAAATTAACGTTACACCATGTTAAAACTGCGTACAAAATTCGAAGTTAATAACCATGCAAATCATTAAAACTTAAAACAGTAAATTTTCCACCTCACATTTTTCCTAAATATTCCATTGAAGTATTCTACTACCGATATCTCCACGTTTGTTCAAGTGTACCTACATAATGAGCTTGCCTTATAAGATGGTAAGTAACATCAGCAGTGACTGAGCGACATTAAATATTCCACTGCCAAAAGGAACAAAATTTGGAAGCATCGCATGGTAGGCTGAGAGGCGGACATTCAAACCGGCTCTTCGCTCTCAACCTTGGAATCTATGTCAAGGCATTAATTTCTTAACAAATATAAGAAAGGTTTGGGTTAGTCATCTGGAACCAATATTCCAGATGGGGTATCATGGAAGTGGTATCAGATAACGAAATATAAAAATAAAATAATCTGTTTGAGATGAAAGATTAGAACGGCAGAAATAAGCTCTTAGGGAGAAAAGAAAACCATTTCTTTACTCTCTTCACAGTCTTTTAATCCATGAAATCGAAACTCTTATGGGTGTTACTTCATAAGTACCAACTCTCCTTTCCCTGTCTCCAGTGGGTAAAAATATGGGTTGAACCATCTGGACAATTCTTTTCTTTTGTGAACGTTACACATAGACAGCTATCGTTTGTTATAGGTTTTAACAGTATCGGTTATGTCTCTCCTTCTCTGGCATCTTCTTTCTTTGTGTCACCACACAAAAGTAACAACGTTTCCATCTAAAAAAGTCCACCCACGTAAATCTTGTCAAATATCTTCGGAAATCCCTGGCTTCGTCTCTACTTGTCTGAAGCTGAAAGCAATCTTATAAACTTCCAAGTGTCTGGAGCAGAGATAAAAGTATTGCTTTAGAAACGGATTGAAATTCTTTCTGTTGTTGGCTTATCTTCCATTTTAAATTGGATAGAATGTCTGACATTGTCATGAAATATATCTTACAATAGACACTAACTCTATACATTATAGAAATACTTCAAATTGTTTAAGCATCTAAATAGCTGAAATCGTATATTAAAGTTTAGGGTTATAAGAATTACAACCATAAAATTCAATAACATTTTCAGCTATTCATTACATTGTGAATATTACACATTTACATAAACTAGCATTCAAAAATATCTCCATAAATTATTTTTTGATTCCGATAAATAAATGTTTTTAAACTTAAGCTCTCGTTATTATGTTTACAGAGAACAAAGGAAACAAAATAAATCATAAAAGTTTTGCTGGAAACCCTCGTGGAATGTAAAATGCATATAAAATTTTACCCTGAAGAAGAAAGTGGAAGAGACCACTCGAGAGACATGGGCGTTAATTTATGGAAGACAACGTATTAAAATATATGCAATTGAAATATTGTGTTGTTGCGAACTGGATAGAACTGGCTGAAAATAGCGACCAGTGATAGAATTTTTAAAGAAGGCGATTTATGTTATATAAAAAAAAAGGAGAATTATTTGCATAAATCAGCTTCTAGACACGAAATTGGACGATATCGTGGAAAAAAACCCCAATATTACGCTACTTTTATTAATTTCAATTCACAGGGGATATTTATTTACCTGCCAGTTCGAATTCATCTGCATCAAATACACTTTAGAGAAGAGAAATGCTGTCATAACCTCACCTCAAGTTTTTTGTATCACCGATTTCCAAACATAAGTTGCAAATCTCCATAGCGCATAATAACACACCTTACAGAGTTACGCCTCTCATGTCAAAACCACAGAATATTACCAATAACAAAACTAATTTCATTTCAGAAAAGAAAAGACGAAAGAATCAATCGCCCACCGCCACAGACGCCTTTCTAAGAGCGAAGGCGTGGATTTCTTCGGAGAGATCGCCCGTACAAGTGATGTCTATACGCAACGCCTCGTGTGATAGGTAATTACAAGCGAGGCTCATTCTGAATTCCAGTTGTTTTTATTATGAATACATTCGACAGCAGCAAAGTTTGTTGTATCCATCTTTGAACTTTAATGATCACCTTTCTGATGTGCCATTAGGAAATGTTCTTAGGCTGTAGTGTTACAATGAGATATTGCTATTTAAGGGCTGTCCATTGTTTTAACCGTTAGATTAACACGCAAGATTAAATATGCCCTATTTCTCAGAAGACTGTGATTACTTTAATGTCTGGTATACACAGTACTCATAATATTTGGACCTGTTTTCAAGATAAGGTATACCTTGACGGAGAACTTGGGTGGGGGTGTTAGAGAATCTTCTTCCATCTAGCCCCGTTAATTTTATCATTTTCAATAAAAATACGTCTACCACGGTGGTCTAGCGGTTAGAACGCTGGTCTTGTAATCCTGGGGTCTCGGGTTCGATTCCCGGCGGTGCCCGAATTTATAACTTGTGTTGGGCAAGGCCGTGGTCTAGGCAACACGGAGTTTTTCTCCGGGGGCTTCCCCGGTTTCTCCGTGTCATCCCAACAATTACTCCATTCACACACAGAAGAAGGCAATGGCAAACCACTTCTGGATCATCTGCCAAGAACGTATATGAACAGGTCCCAGTCCGAGAAAAGGATGGAAGGATCCTGTTCATATGGACCTGTCGTCAGACAGAACACTAAATAAATAAATAAAAATGTCATTTTAGCATACGTGTATAAACAAATGTCCTGTTATATTTGTGTAGTCGTAATGGAATATAATTGTATTCGAAAGGTATCAGATTCGAAAATCGTGATACATATTTTACCCCGTTTCTCCATGCTAAGGCTGTGGTAGTATTTTGAAATAAGGTGCGACAATGAGCTTCAAAATTAATTAAAAGATTACGTTTTGAGAAGCTGTATGATCCTGGATGGTCTGAAGAGTTTAGGACAGCTGTTCATCTGGTCGATTCTCAAAACCGAAATTTTAAAAATAAGAAACGAAATAGTTAATCACGGTGATGTTTCTTGAAATTTGTGTTGTCTTTCTCCAACAAATTACTAGCAGCAATTCCAACATCTGGTTTAGTGCAGAACTTGTATGAGGCACATTTTTGAAATAGATTGTTTAATGTTAATTTCTCGAAAACCCAAACAACTGTAGACCAAGATGCAATATCATAGGAAAGTATCTGTATAATTCTTCAAAACATGTGGCTTATTATACCACTATTTTAATGTGAGACATGGCCTCCAACGTATTTCGGCAGTTGGCTTTGCTCCTACCTGCCTGTGATTGGTAGTCCTGTATACTGTCAGGGTTTTTTTATTATTATTTCTCATTTTAAGACTATGCTGACGGTTGAAATCTAACCCGTGATCTTTTCAGCGTCTTATGTGATGTTCATATAAATGGATTTTAAGTCTCCCATCTTCAGAAGGAGTTGTTCACCAAAAATTACATAACACTGTCTTGTTACCCCTCCACATCTTGCGTTTAACCTATAAATATTCTTAATTTACAACCATTAGACAATTTCACGAAGAATTTAGATGATAAAATAAATAAAGAGTATATACTAATATAAATCCTCTATTTAAGAACTCAGTTACAGTACGCGTTTAAACGTATTTGCAGTTATTAAAAATTTGAAATAATAAAAACTTTTTGAAATATGAATTATGTATAAAACACTACACAGAAGTAAATTCACAAAGATTTCTTTACACCACGTCCATAGGATGTGATAGAAAATTGTGCACATCAGTTCTGATAGATGGTAGCACTAATAGTTCGAATGACCATTGTTAGAGAGCAGCATGGGTTAAGACATCAGAAGTCACAGCGGAACGCAAAAGCGAGACTGATTTTCTCGTGTCACTAGTTTGAGCATCAGTCAGATTAGTTTCACTCGTTACAGGGAATTAAAGACTACTCTTTTGGACTATATTCCAATTGCATATATAATATATATACCAAATTTAATAGAAATCCGTTCGTCAGTTCTTGAGTCATACGACACATCACAAGTTTAAGCGTCAGTCACGTCGTTGGAACCGATTGTAGAAAATTAAGACAAATTTGAGTAGCCTCCAATAGCACGCACTTCATACCAAATTCAGACTTCGTAGTGACGGACGGGTGATGACGTCATCAGTGGTAGCAGAGGATCTTGGGTAATAACGTCGAAGTGGAGATTTATAGTTCCACTTCACAAATTTGAGTACTCGTTACGTTAGTATAACCAACTATAGGAAATTAAGTATGACTTAAATCTTGGCTTCAATTGTATATTATTCATGTCACGTTTAAAAGAAATCCATTTAGCAGTTCTCGATTTATTTTATCACACAATGTGTAGTTCGTAAGACCACTGACAGGGGGAAATAAGTTATCGGCTGAAAGACGAGATAGATGGACAGAAAATGATCGTAATTTCTGTTCGAATACGTAAATCAGACCCATCTTAATTATATTATCAACCACAACGCCTTACAATTTTTTCGATGGTTCAGTTATGATCGCATGTTTTAGTACAGATCACCTGAGGTTCATCCCACGATGGGTGAGAGAAATAGCTTAAGGTCAAGGGATAGATATGATAGAACAGTAGCATGTGATTGATATGCTAATAAAATAAACATTGCGCCAACGACTGTCAAAGCTGATTGCAAAAATTATTGGCAAGTAAGAAGATACATTATCCCTGTTGTATGTTATTCAATAGACAATACATGATGACTAGAATATGGGCTTGTCTATCGAGATTCGATTTCAGGCAGGGACGAAATATGTTTTCTCTTACCGCCATAACGGCTTTGGGGCTCACCCACCCACCCCATTAGGTAGATACCACGTGCCCTTTTCCAAGAACAAAGTGCCGAGGTCAAGAATAAATGGAGTTATGCCTCCATTCCACATTATTCCTCGTGGAGTTGCGTTTAATAAGCAGCAAGAACAAATTTAATTTAAATGCAATATGGGTTCCACAGAAATTTTGCGCATTTGTGAATACTGTTTTAAATATATCCAGATTACACGGGGAAGCATGACATTTGTTGGAACAGCCCTCTCTCTTTCCGTTGGTCACTGTTTGTTAGAAGGTAATTACAGGGTGATAGTGGATGTCGACAAGTCAAAAGTAATATCTAGAAGTCAACCGCCGAAAGTGAGTTAATTCCTAAACATTGGTCTGTTTGTATTTATAATTATTTTGAATAAAAATTTTCTTGGATATTATCCATCGTCTAGTAAATATAAAACGTAAAACGACGTTTCGGAGATGGGAATTAATTCCGGAGATAGGGATTAGCTCTATCTAGTGGGCCCAACTGTGTAGGAACCTGAAGACGGAGATAGAGAAAATTTTTATTCAATTGACTCTTCACCATCGTCAAGAAGTTTTAGATGTGATATAATTATTTTGTTTATTACTCGTGAATTATGTTCGTATAGACAGGTAGCATTTGACAAAGAGACTCATGTTTTCACACCAGCAGTATTAATCACGTGCATTTGACAAAGAGACTCATGGTTTCACACCAGCAGTATTAATCACGTGCATGTCGTAGTAGCAGAGTGAATGGGTTTTTATTTACCATAATATTCAAATTCTGTATGATAATGAACATCATTACAGAGCAGCGTGATTTAAGAGTGCATGATGGGTAGAACGTACAGATAGGATGAAGGAGGAAAGGACTATGATAAAGCAATGTCTTGTATTCTGATACTGAGAAGACCAAAACAGAGATGGAAGGATGTTATTTAGATGGTACGCACAAATGTTGGTTGTGAGTGTTGGAGTCAGATGGTCAGATTGTGTTCAATTGCGTAATTTTGTATTAGCGACGTTAAAACTTCGGGTTGTTATTACAGAATTAAATAGCTTTAAATGCATTGGATAACATTCAGATATTACGTTTAGCTTAGCTACGTGTTACAAGGATTGTTATTAATTCGAATCAAGTTAGTAATATAAGACATTGGTTTGTATGTACCCTGTTAACAAAACGATATTCAGATAAATATTGCAAAACGATTTGTACATCCCTAGATTACAGGATGAGGTAATGGAAACTGTGTGTCCGAAAGAGATGGGGATATGACAATCATCGGTTCCGTAGAACATCAAGTTCAAACTTCATTCGTTTTCATTACGCAATGCATAATGCCCAGTGCGCAAGAGTGGCATATGTCCCCTGATTCCACGTTTATTTTAACCAATACAATATCGTCCATTTACGTCAAGTTCTTAGGTCGATCATGAAATTTGTTTACAATAAAAAAGTGCACACATTACACTGCGTGGTAAAATAGACGGTAGTGATGATCAGGGATGTAAAGTACGATCAATTATTTGTATTAATATACTTCGTTTCGATTCCTTATCTCTGTCAAAGTGTGTGTTAATGTGTTGGCAGTACACTCCATATTATTCTTGCTGCAGAATCGTTAGATGAGTTTTAACTGAGATGGTTTGTATTTTTACGAAGAGATTAATGTGCAGACTGAAATACCGACATCGTAGAGTCGCTACGCGTTATTATGCTAAAAGGTAACATATAAAATATTTTACGTTAATATTTGAATAAAAACAAATTATTTTTAATTTTTCTCGAGAAAAGAAATTCGGATTGCTTCTCAAGTCCTGATAATGATGACAGTAATGATCTAGTTTGCGTATTATAGGACATTTTTCCAACCACATCAGTCGTATTGCATCCAACTTAAGAACGATTGTAAATTATTTGTTGTAAATAATTTGGAAAGGTAGGATATTTTCCAGTTTTAAGTTGTAGAATGAAACTTAATTACGAAAAGCCGGTTTCCGAGCCGACAAAAAAGCTCTAAACTTCGTGAATTCGAAGGAGAGGTTGAAATCACTCGACCGAGAAGTTTTTTTAGATAGGAAGGAATCATAACATTATCCCAAAAATACAGTGAATTATATCTTGGAATAACATTAGAACTTTAATCTGGATATAAATCTGAGGCTGT